GCTCGACACAACTAAAGAAAGCCTGCGTGCAGCAAAGAAGACCCAATGTACCCAAAATAAATAAATACATACATACATAAATACATAAATAAATTTATAAAATAAAATGGACACTGAAAGAATAAAAGTTTCTTGGAAATTAAAATTGTGAAAGTAGAAATTTAAAAACTCAATGAAAGGACTGTGAGCTAAATCTCCCAGAAAGCAAAATGTTAAGAAAGAGAGATGGCAGAGAAGGAGAGAACAGATTGTAAAATTATGGCATGAGTTCAGGAAGTGAAACATTTTAATAAGAGTTCCAGAAAGAGAGAACATACATGTGGGGTGTGTGTATGTGTGTGTTGGTAGTGGTGAGGAATAACTAAATAAACATTTCGAGTAAAATTCCCCAAGGAACTGAAGGATATGCATTTCCAAATTCAAAGCAGCCATGGAGGGCCCAGCCCAATAGATGAAAATCCCCCATCCAAGGTACCTCCCCATGAGTCCAGAGCATTGGGAACAAAAAGAATATCCTAAGATACCCATTCTCTTATTCCTGGGAGGTGTCTTCTAGTTCCTGGTGGGTAAGAATCTTAAAGGTTAAAAAGGTATTTCTAGCAGATTTGTCACAAGGATTTTAGTTCATTTAACTTATGAGGTTTTCAAAGGAGTTCTGAGGATGCTAGACTACTTTTTTTCTTAATGTAAAAGCAATATATGCTCATTACAGAAATCATGGAAACTTCAGAAAAGTATAAAGAAAAAGTATCAGCTGTAGTTGAACAAATCTGAACATCTATTTCTTTACCAGCATGGAGTATTGTTTTTTAAGCTTTATCCATTTGGTAGGAAAAAGGAGAGTCTCAATTTAATTTGTGATTATTTCTAACTAGAGATGACCATATTTTTAGCAGTTATAATTCCTCTGGGAATTGTCTCACTTTGATAGTCTTGACGTTTTTCTAGATGTGCTTGGTAAGATACTCTAAAGGAGCTGTGTGTCACGTTCTCATCTTCACGGCCATGCCCCAGACCAGAGCGTATGATGCCTCTACTGTGAGAATGTGGAAATATTCTTTCTAAATGATGATGGTTGTCACGCTCAGGTTTCCCATAGCCTTTCTTCCTGTTTCTCTTTCCTCTGGTGGTTGTGTTTGTGTTTGGTTTCCTAGCTGTCTTGCTTTGGCTGAGTGAAGACTTGGCCAGGGCTACCTCTCAGTATGTGCCCGCACTGCCTCCCTTCCCAATCCTGTACTCCAGCCACAGTGACCCCACAGGACCCTGTGCCCAGCCGGTACCTACTAAATACTATCTAACGAAATGCCACACATCTGAGAAGGGCAGAAAGGAAACGTGAAAACGCAGCTAATTTTATTTTTGGTTTCATTAATGGAGCCTATTTAAGTTTCTGTTAAATATTTGCTCCCCAACAGCAAACTTGGTCCTGGAAAACACTCTCTTGGTAGACACGATTTACTTCATAATTTTCCCTCCCTTGATTGACAGCTGTGAAATAGGGAACCGAAGGCTGTCAAAGATAACTGAATAATGTGTGAGGCAAACAAGTGTCCACGCTGTAGTCCCTTCTCTTGCTTGAAACCCCGGCAACGCAAAAGCCAGTCCACAGAACCACTTGAGGATGAGGAGGGGTGAGGCCTTGCAGACACTTTCAGAGCCCATTGCCTAAAAATGTTGCCTTCAGTAGGCAAAGTAGAATGAGTGCTGGAGAAAAGCACCCTTGCTTTCTTATTCCCACTGCGAGGCCAAAACTGATCTTATGAGCTAAAGTTGACCTAGAAAACACATTTGTAAGCATTTCCCTTCCTCCTCAAAGACAATAAAAATGGACACGCTTTAACTGCAATTAAGATTGGGGCCCAGCTGAGGCTAGTGGGAATATCTGGTACCTAGCGCCACCTTGTGGTGGCTCATCCAAATCCTGGGCCCTTTCAAAGGGCCCTGTCAGATTAAATATGACCGATTCGTGAAGGGGAGTATGGATTAAGTCATTTTCTTGGGGAATACAAACTGATAGAAATAACAAGCACTTGACTGTAACTCTATAGTAAATGAAGCACTCATTTAATCTGGTAGCAGTTCTGTGCTACAGGTAACAGGATCTCAATCTTAGAAATGGGAAGACTGAGGCTTGGAGAAGTTGACTACTTGTATGGGCCAAGTCCTGGACTTGAACCCAGATGTTTATATTCCAAATAGCGTAACACAATTAGTATTGTTGTATGTAGTATATATCAAAAACTCAAATGAAATTAATAGTACCATATAGTATCGTATACAGTATACACAGTGTAGTATAATATATATATTCTATACTATATATGGTATATATACCTTTCTAAAGAGCACTATAGTACTTATGCTATTTTCTATAGCACTGTAAACCAGTACTCACTACCCTTCTGGGGCTATTTTCTGCCTGTGAAGACAAGGCAATACTGGTTGACTCTTGGCAGTCTATGATTTAGCAAATGCTGTCAGAGTTTTGCTACTAAACACACTGTGGCCTTGCTTTCCTGGATCTCCTGGGCACCCAACCTGCAGAAGATTCTGCTCCTCTGTCTTAATCTGGGGTGCAGTAATGGAAGTGTCCCAGGGAGAATGAACACGGGGGAACCGAGGCAAGAGAACTGAAGCCATGTTTTTATTATTTCTTACCCCAATCCACTGGCCCAAACCATGATAGACTATGTCACCACATTCATTTAACTAGAAGTATGTTTTACAACCACTACATTTTAAAGTGGGGTTACTGAGAGGTTACCTGGCTGGGTGTCAGAGGTGTGCATGTCATTAGGCCAGCTTTAAATATTCCAGGTGAAAAATCTGCAGCCTTTCCTTTATGGGGCAGGAATTTGGGGCCATCATTGCTCCTGAGGACAGAGACAACTCCAAGTTGTGCTTGGAGGAAACCATGGGCCTTGTTTACAGGTGTCCCCTCAGGCAACTCCTGGCAAAGGTAGAGGGGCCTTTTCTTATGGCCAGGTCCTCGTCAGCCTGTTCAGCTTGCTTTAGAGTCACTCCCGTCTCCAGGGCACGTGGTCGGCCAGATCGGCCACCTCTGGTAGGTCTCAGGACGATTATCCATGTCTTACAAGTAAGGAATCTGAGGTTCAAACAGAGTGAGTGGTGAGGCCACAACTGACTTCTGACAACGAAAGCCCACGCTTACACTACACCACACTGCTCCCCACTTTCTACTTTAAATATCCTGTTTTTATCCAGCTCAGCCACTAAAACCCAAGTGACATTCTTCAGACCTAGTGGAGGAAACGGGTGAAAGGACTTCCGAGGAGGGGGCATTTAGCAGCATTCTGGGGCTGAAGCTGGGTGTGGGATGCACTTGCTGGAGCCACTTGGAGGAAAGAGCCCTGGACTGGAGGTGGGGAGCCTGGGGCTGGTTGAGGCTCTCCCCCAACAAATTGCTCTGGGGCTGGGCTTGCCCCTCGCTCCATGAGGAAGCCCGTGAGTCCCCGTCCCCCACCAGGTTCATCTTCTTTACAAGCTGATTTCAAAGGACAACTCTGGGGCTTCCCTGGTGGCGCAGTGGTTGAGAGTCCGCCTGCCG